TATCATCAGGTGGACTGTGTACTCGTTTGTCACCTTTATTTTATAAAAAAAGCTCACTGGAAGCAATATTTTACTGTTTTAAGTTTTTTTTTTGGATTTTTAGGTTGGATATATTGTTTATTTGTTTATTTAGTAATAAATGAGGACTGAGTATACTGCCATCTATCGGAAATTAGGATTTCTTCATTTCTTTTTTGAATGATGTTTTTTTGTTTTATGCTTTTTTGTCATGTTCTTTTCTGACTTATAAAGGAAACTGTTTGAAAGACTACCTTCGAAAATGATACAATTGAACCATTTAAAATAATATTTATTATGAATAGAAAATTTTTCATTGGTCCAAAAATACTGAGAAAAAAGTAAAGTACCTATAATAACATTCACAATGTGAATAGAATAGAATAGAATAGAATGATTTTTATTCAATATGGATTATTACATAATACTTATTGAAAGTCATTATTTTATTTACCACTGGTGATATATATTAAGATTAGATAATAAGAAAAACAAATATGTTATCTCAAAGCGCTCGCTGTAAATCTCACAGTACGCCAGCAACCCGGGTTTGATCCCCGCCGGCACCAATGAAATTGTTAATTGTAATTTCAAGTGCTGATTTACCACGTGCTCGGCGGTGAAGGAAAACATCGTGAGGAAACCTGCATGTCTGAGAAATAAGAAAAAAGAAATTGTTTCTAAGATATGTGAAGTTCGCCAAAAAATTAGGGTAGCGCGGCTGACATTTCCTTGCCCTAAAACCCTCTCAGAAATGAGAGGAGGCCTGTGTCCAGCAGCGCGACGTATATAGGTTGTAAAATTAACGTTTATCTAAAAGTTAACGTGACGCGGGATGTGAAAAAACATTTCTGTAAGCTAATTAATAGAATCAGGCGTTACTTTGCGAAAATCCATTATTTTAAAGTTAGAAAGCTAGCTAGGCTAAGCTAAGCTGAGCGGTCAGCCACCGCAGTCTACTTCACCGGACGATGTTTTGTGTGGAGGCGAAACACATGTCGTATTATCGTCGGTGGTGTGTCTTTACTAGTGTAGTGATGGTGGGAGTAGTGGTGCTAGGATGAGTGGTTACAGGGATAGTGCACGCAATTGAGCGAGAGCGGGAGGTGCTCGTGCTTCAAACTAGGTGACATAATTATATTTTATTGAGCGGTAACTTTTTCCAACTTTGATGTTTATGTGGGACTCACTGCGACTAACCTAACCTAACCTAAGTGCCTACCACCACCTTTGAGACTGGCATTGGCTTATGAGGCCTTTCTGCCGAATCGGAAGCGACCTTCTTTAGGAAAAGGGGGCGCAGGAGTTTAATGTTTCTGTAAACTGTTTTTGTTACTATACTAATTATATGACCAGTTCTACGTCTTCATTTTATGAATGCCGTTACGTCCCGCCGCGCTCCCTCATTGGTATGAGGGAGCGCGGCGGCCACGCCTCAAGCGTCGCCCTTATAGTACCGATTGCAACGCTGAAATATATCAACGTCCGTTGTTTGTGCTCCCTTGCGATATCTAGTTACTCAAGTTATGCAGGGGGCGGAAGACGTTTTAAAAATACGAATTTTATTAATTAAAAGAAGATGTTTAATCGCTACAAGAACTCGCTTAAGACTAACTTAATATTCTATGCTCAAAAACTAATGCATGAGAGTCCACACTGGAGCTCGGCAGTTTCCGTTTGTCCACTCAGCACATGCCCGTGGTCTACAATCAGAATACTCTGCTGATGCGGACATCTTGGTGGGTCTCGCCACCCGTAACAAGTTTGTTACTGTTTTTGTTGTTGCTTTTGTTACTCTTAATTTTTTGTTTCTGTTGACTTTTTACATTCGCAAATTTGTGATAAACAAAGAATGAAGTGATGGCAGTGATACAGAAACGAACGATTTCGATAAAAAAAAACTGGTATCGAAGTTATGGATGCGTAAATATTTACCGACCAGTTTTGTTCGCGCCTTCGTAAATAATTCATTTTAAATTTATAAATAATAAAACTATAATAAAAATAATTTATTTTATTGAACAAGGTTTTCAGTGTTATCATTTTACTTTACTAAGTAAATAAATTATTCAATAATATGCATTTTATCTACTTGCGTGCCCCCCATTTCTCTGTACAGGGCAACAAACTAAATCGAACTTCTTACAATTAAAACGCTTACAGTAATAGTTTTGTCTACGGTACGTCATAACTGTTGACGACGACAAACGCTAAATGAACGCGTAGTAGTTGACTTTTTCGGCGTGAAAATAATCACATGATTTTAAGGTTAAGCGCGCTTCTTTGAGAGGAATCTGTGCATTCTGACTAAGTGAAAAAATGTACATACGGCTTGTTCTTTAGGGTTCGCCTATCAAATAAACCTCTATAATATACTTTAAGTAAAAAATTCTTATTATTATAATATACTAACTGGGTAACCGGCGCGTTGCTGCTCGAAAAAATATAATTATGGACATATCATTTTAAATTTGGAAGAGTTATATTGTTTAATTAGGAATCATAATACATTCACTGAAATTGTATAATATATAACTTTCAAACAAATTTATCAGTATGATACGCGTGCCACTGTAAGTTAATTGTACTATGCCTATAACCTACGCGTAAGTGCAAGCAATAATTTGGCAAAATTTTACCGCAAGCTGATGAACAGTGTGGCAGCACATAAAATACAAAGAAACAAGAATGAATTTTTATATATTAGATATAAAACATTCTAGTGATAAATAAAATATTTCTTTATAAATCTGAACAAGCAACAGCCCATGAGAGATACAGACATCTTCCTGTTAAAAGAAGGCAAGAACGAATTACAAAACGAATTGCTATTCTTGAAAAAGTTGAAAATACATATTAAGATACTGAGCCACCAAAGTCGTAAATAATTTCACTTTATGTTTCGTTAATCTAATACAATGAATCTTAACGTAAAGATATGAGATTTAGTTATTTTTTGGGCCGTATCCAACTCAATCGGACGATTAATGACTTTGCGGAATAAAAATAGACACTTGTCTTTGGTACGTTTTTATTTACTCGGTAGTTAGGAAAGATGTGTGAATGAAGCCGGGCAAGTGTAACTTACATTTATATTTAGCTCAAATGTTTTGGTGTGTTATTTTTAAATGGAGTGTGTTTACGTATTTTCACGTGATTAGATTACCTCACCTTTTGAGTGAATTGACGCCTACGAAGTTTGCCAATTGAATGTACAACTGATATGATTCTTTCGATATTTAGATTTCTTTACACATATAGATTGCTTTTGAACTCTAATGTTACATTATATGTTCTGCGTACTATTTGTATTTTAGAATATGAAGCGAAGAAAACTGTCTATATGACATACATTTTTGCATGACATAGGCCGGCCACATACGTACGGAATTCCGTTTCGGGATTCCGTTTCGATTTCCGTTTCGGAAATCCGAATGCAGCAAGTCCATATAAAATCTATGACCCGCCACACACGTCCAGTAATTTTTCGTACAGAATTTACTCCGATTCGAGATTCCGTATGATCGCCTGTGCATTCGGAATCCCGAACGCAAGTCTTCCATAGATTTTGTATGAGTCGCAACACACATTTGTAAATTCCGTACGGACTGCGCTTAATGTTCGTCGCATGACTGAAGCTAGTAGGTGTGATTATGTATGTTTTTACATTTAATCTTGTAGGTGTATAGCTTTTCGTAACCTTTCATCTTATTTTATTTAATAATTCGTCGAAAGAATTTACAGACATCCATATTTAAAAAATATCTCTGGACAGATAAATCTTTTTACATAATATTAACTATATTGCAAGCTTAGGGTGATAAGGGGATGCACCTGTAGTAAGAATGATACTGTAACAATGGAATCACAATCAGAAAATCGTCGTCATTATTCGCTGGCAGAATGTCTGGACTCAATGGCTAACCTCTCTCAACCGACCCTTGTTATTTCGAACTTCTGTGTGTGATGCATTCACGGAATCCCAAATCGTAATTTCGTATGTATGTGACCGGCCTTACACGCTACATTTCGAACAGGGCTTTCGAATTCGAATGCCGGTCACTCATCGAGCTTATACTGTTAGCATACACGGTAGCTAAAGCGAAAAAACGCTAAAAATGTTAATATTGTTATACTACAAATAAAAATATATTATATTAAATTAATCGTTATGTTGTTTTTTTTTGGGAAATTTCTATTTTTTGAAAAAAAATATCTGGGAATAAAATAAAATCAATTGTATTGTATAATTAAATCAATTTACGAATAGTATAAAATTTTTTTTTTGAAAATTTGAGATCCCAAAAAAATGTATATAGTACAGTTATATTCGATACTCAGGTCTGTAGTTAGAAGCACAATAAAACGTTTATTGTAATGCATGAATGACGTTATTTCTGTGGTCGTTAGTGGCGGCTGTGAGTATAGACAGCGACAGTGTGCAAGCCAGAGATGACTAGAGACGTCGCCATTTATAATCCTGTTCTTTATCTGCACGAATAGTGCACATTATATATACAGATAATATTTTCATTTCTATTTTTGTTGTCAGTATTCATAAAAAGCGACAGTGAACAACCTCCTACACCAATTTACTACATAATTATTAATGTTCATACTTATGATATTTAGGCATTATGTTATTATTAGGCTCAGGACCGTGCTTTGTGGCATTCCTTGGGGGAGGCCTATGTTCAGCAGTGGACTTGTGAAGCGCTGTAATGATGATGATAATGATGATGTTATTAGATCCAATGTTACCATAATTTGTGAAAACATTTTATATTTTATACAAATTCTGAATTTATGCTGTAAATTTACAATTGCAGAATTATGAATTCATTGGATTTAGAGTTATTTAAAAAAATAAATAAAAGGCTATCACGTTTAGATTAATTATCATTGTTAGATTTATGCGAATAAAAAAATACTCGTTTATTTCTTGTATGCATTTCTTTTGATACATTAATTTTTTGTTTCAGTTTCATCAGCACGCTTCTTACAAACGTCCTCACTCATCACTTAGGCTGGGTAACAACTGTCAGCCCATATGACACTATCGATCCTCTAATGCAAGCCAAGCCAGCTTCGTCTGCCGAGTATCGGCGTCCTTATAACGCCTTGTGGGCACAACTCGGGGACCTCTGCGGAAGTATCGGTTTCCCTCCCCGATCATCCAGAACAATAATCGTGGGCGCCACAAACACACAATTTATGAACAAATTACTGGCTGTGCTCACTTATTTTATTCGTTGCGGTGACGTCACAAGGACCGATTTTATTTACAAAGAATGCGAACTTCAAGAAAGCAAAGTTACAAGTGTAAAAGCCCATCAAATTTCTGGCCTCAGCAGGACCGAGACATCCAAAAACAGTTTGGAGCAAATAGCATCGAGGGATACTTTGAATGTGCCTATAGTTAATACTCAGAGCACTGATAGTAGTATAAGTACGTTAGTATCGAGCGATGTTAGCCTTAAACGGTCGACAACGCTCTCTAATTTTAATGATAAGCTCTCTATTAATTCGGACCCTTTAGACTGTAGTGAGAAACCTACCACCAAGCTAAGAAGGAACCCCACGGTATTGGTCTCATTGAAGGCGTCATCAGATTTAAGTCTGAACTCTTCTGAGTCGGAGGATTTGGAGACGGAGAAGAAGGTCGTGTTTGTGTTGGGTGAAGATGAGAAACTGGTCGGTCTGAAGAACAAGTCCAATGGCGGGAAGAGTGTAAAGAAGTCATCGAAAATCCACAACGAGCCTGTCACTGTAGAACTGCCAGAGAAATGTCCGGAAGTTAGCAAAGCATCCTGTGATCGAAACAAATCCTGCAGTTCCGACAGTCCGTCGAAATGCTGCAGGCAAACACTTGAACATTCCAAGCCAATAAAACATTCCGGTTTTAAGTTTGAATTCGATAAGTACCCACAAATAGTCACTAATTATATGAAGAGCAAAAATTTAGAAATACTAGATAGACATTATATAGGAAAACCGGGTAACTTAAAACTGGACAATTTCCAGTTCGACCCAACGATCGTCCCTCCGATACAAGAAGAGAGATGCGAGATTTGTTACAAGTGTCAGTTGATGGAGTCGATGCTCCAGACCCCCACAAACGCTTCTGAAATGGAATATATGAACGATATGCCCCGACAGTCTGAGCCTCAGTTCGCTAAGGAGACAATCGTCAGTGAATCCGAAGTGCAAGAGATGTCGCCGAAATCTTTTGTCAGGAAACGGAAAGAGAACACTACTGTCGTCAATTTAATAAAAGACACAGATAAGAATATTGCACCGGCCATTTTAATAGAACGTAACCAAAAAGTAGAACAAGTAAAGAAAGATAAGCCTAAGGACAAAGTAGAAGTCAAGCAAGTCATAGAGTTTCCATTACCGAGTCTCTCTTGTCAATCAAATCAAGGCCGGATGCGTTCGGGGTTCGACGCTTCATTATTAGGTGGCGTGACCGAACATTATATTCCTGATTTAATTTTACAAGGTAATAATAGTACTTTATATGGCTAGGTTTGATTTTATAATGATTTAACAATAATTTTAATTTTTTGCATTTATTATTTAATTTTTAGGAACAATTGTAAATCCAAAAATATGGGAGACGGAGCTAAGGCGGGATCTAGACCTCGCAACGTATCTGAACAAAACGTTAGATACACCGATGCAAGCCGTTGCAATTGTCGGAGATACTAATAAATGGTAACATTTTTTTAAATATTTAAATCACCATAAAGAAAACTTTTATCGTGTTGTCTTCTGTTTTTTAGGAACAACTAACACTAATTTGAAATAATAAAATGAAATAGAACTGTGGTGTTAGTCAAGTTGACTTTTTAAAATTGTTAGCACTAAAACAAAAATTAATGCCAATGACATACTCAACATTTAGTAACGCGACTGTCACACTTATCGTTTATTTTATTTTATTAATTATTATATTTTATTATAAGTGTTAAAAATTGAATAAAGTGAACTTATTTCAACCCGACTAAGTCTCGTTATTATAATTATCAAAACCCACAATTAATTAAATTTAAAATAAATAAAAATTTGTAAGTAGCAGATGGGCACAATCAAAGAGATTTAAATATATAGAGCGGACATTGGGAACATTTATATACAAAAACTTTGATCTAGTGCGCGTGTGGCACCCTCTAGCTGAAAATAGCAAAACAACGCTAAGTATTTATTTAGACAACATTTTAGCTATTCCCCAGTAGGTGACGCTAATAAATATAACTTCGTTTTAGGAATGTTACGATTTCGATATCAAAGTATCGATAATGTTGTTGAAGATTACTAAGTTTGAAATGCTTTTCGATTTAATAATAGGGGATAAACATGATTGTTTTATTGTATAAATCTATTTATCATGACTTCCATCTCACGAAAAAAATCATATTAATTTTTTACGCCCCTTTAGTGTCATGAAATAAAATATTTAATTTCCAATAACTAAGAATCAATTCAAACAGCAGTCACTTTGGTTGCCACCTTGGTGGTATGACGTCACTCGGTCCATTAGCTGCTATGATAATAGCATATGATTGATCGGTCGGCGTTAAAGACACATCGAGAAACGCCAAATCCAATAAGAGAGCGCCTCTATGTTTTTAAATTCGTTTCTATTACAAAAATACACTTCAAATCTAAAATACTTTAGGAAAACACTGAACTTAAAAGCCGTTTCACGATTTTTCACGTTTCATCAGCTGCAGTACTTAAAAACACTACCCACATCAATAAAAATTGTTATTTTAAGTTTTTACCTTATTTTCTAACTCAGGCTTAACCTGCAACTTCTTGCATCTAATATCTTTAACAGTACAAATTGTTTTTAATGGAAGAAATCAATTGCCCTCTCCTATCACTGTAAGCGAGGATCTATAATGGCTTTGTCCTTGAAAACCAACAGACAATGAAACCCGGTGTAAAACCACCAGACAATGAAGCCTGGTATGTAAAAGAGAAGACTTGCTGTATTGCTAAACATCAACACAGCAAGTATCCTCAGCATGCTCATAAGCAACACAGAAAATCTCATCAGCATGCCTAAAAAAAATTCCCACCCTTGCTTCACATAAAGTAGGGTACTTAGCATAGTTGGCATATGCTACTCATTTTTGTTGGTATGGGTACAGTATCGTTGACTGTTTTACCTCCTTAAATATTGTAAAGGATTAAATCGGCATCCTGTATATTTTTTATCGATAATCCCAATCGATAAACGTCGTCAATCACTAACTTTAAAATTGGTAACTAATTAGTGACGTTTACTGGATAACAGAGGGCGCTTATTACAATAAAAATAAATGTTCTAGAACAATCTACTAGAAATAATATAATTTAAAGATTATTCGGTAAATATATGTTATATTTACGATAATAAACCGAAATCACGTTCATATTTTGCTCTATATCGTGACTTACAATATCTTAATGCACAACCGGGCATATTTTCTTTAAAATATTTTTTAAATATATGAAGCGAATGCGTCTTGACTTTTTGATGATGTCACTAAGTCTAAATGACAAAAATCGGAGATATATCCTATAGGACATAAGTTACAGACGACAATTTTGCTGCTGATGTCCGGTCTATTTCTACTACTACTTAAATGTCTTTGGGCACAATCTTATTATAACAATTTTTCGACCACAAAACTCTTACCTTGTTAATTTTTCTTTATCATAAACTAAACATACATGTAATATTTACATAAAAAATATATTTTTGCAGGGAAGTTCGCGTCTTAGGGCGAGACTGTGGTTGGGGCGGTTTGTCGCCTTTAGTTGGCGGAATGTTAGACGCTCTGCCTATCATGCGACACGCCAAAGTACCCACCTATCAGGTATGGCCATTTTATTCAACAGTTTTTTATTGGTCTTAGAAAAAATGATAAAAGCCACAAGGTAGTTAAGTTTTAGTGTTTAGTTGAATTGATTGATTAGGGTCACAAATATGCGCTTTTTCAAGGCGATGGAGCAACGCTACAGCTATGTTATGGTTGCAGCACGAATGGGTTGGATCGATCGGGGAAGGACCACACTTTCACAGAATACCAGTGAAAAATAGCAGCTTGATGCTTCTGTATTTCGTATCGTGAGTCTGAAGACCCGGAGACCCTTTTTATTGGTAAAGTTTTATTTTAGTCCTCAGAGGTACCAACCAACGCATCTCTGTTTTGATTCTTGAGGATAGTTATATGTACTATTAAAAATTATTACGAACTACTAATTAGTATGAATGTGACTAAAGTATATTATACATTTCTTTTGCATTTTTTTTTATTAATAAAAAACTGACTGGGATTCTTGACCTGAACAACGGCTTCAAAGTTTAAACATGGCGTTCCCTTAGGCTATAGACTATAGACATCCAGTATAATAATAGTTCGTGCAACTTTAGTCCTCGGAAATAACACAGCGTATGGCTTTCATTGTTTGAAGTTGGATGTAGATGTCTGAGGGCTACAGTAGCTATTATCAATCAAGTGAACCATAACGATTGTCATTTTAAAATAAATTTATAATAAAACTGAGCTCTTTGTAATAAATATGCCCGTTTTTTGCGAGGGTTACACAAACAGGAAAGGTTGCCGCCGTAATGCTCCTGTGTTTTTTTTTATAGAATAAGGGTGACAAACGAGCACACAGTCCACCTAATGATAAGTGGATGTAGTGGCTCATAGACATCTACATCTATACTCGGTTCAGAATTAAAATACAGATGCGTTGTCACAACTGAAGACTAAGATTGAATGCCTCATTTCTAGTAAAAACGGTCTCCGGTTCTCTACACTCACCATACGAAACAGCAGCATTAAGCCGTTATAATAAATAATGTGCGCACTCTCATTTTGGTCATTCTCATAGTCTGATGGAAAGGTAATCCGATACAATAGGAGAGAGATCAGACGGAGGACCAGCGTATTTACGGTGTACCAACGAGGTAGTCAAGCTGCTATAATATATGATGCTGTGATATTTCTAAAGACATGTTTTACAAATTAGCACTTAAAATTATGTTTCCGATATACTAATTGTCGGTAGGAATTAAACTTTGATTGCTAGCATACTATGAAGTACAAGGTGTGTAATACAGTTTTGTTGTTGCAGTGCGTACTATACTTGGAAGGTAAACTCCGAGAACTGTGCGTTCTATCGAAGACGCTAGCTGATTTGCTCATGACAACAGATTTCTGCGATATAGCAACACTCACGAAGTCCCTTAACATAGACGTCAACGACGTTCCTCTCCTTTTGGCGGTTGCTACCACTCACACCCCACAACTGGCCACTAGATACGGTATTAGTTATAGGTAGTGCTAAAATGTACCTTTTAAATCGAAATGCGTTTTCCACTCTATGTATATGTATAATTACATATGTATATAAGACTGAAGTTTGATTTGAATTCGAAATATTTGCCTGGTGATTTGTTGTTATTTTTAAAAAGCAAAGATTTGTAAGAATTGAGTTCTCACTGACGGCAATGTTGAATTGGCAATAGAATAATTTGACAATTAGGCAACAAAAATATTTCGTCATATCTAAACTTACGCTTAAATTCTATTTGGAATTGTACAACAGATCATTGCTTATTATTATAAAGGCTTATTCCAAGAGTCTTTAAATAGGCCTAGTCTTGTATTATATCTTATTGTGTACTGTACTTGTATGTTTTATATTCAAATCATTACCATATTATTACATGTTATATAAAATCACTTCCTATAATAAAGTAGACGTCGGTTTAAACACCAGATCGTCCCTTATCTTTACCTAGTACCTCATGAAAGGGAATAAATATTAACTTTCTATTTTGTACATATGTTAAATCATTTTAAGTCTATTTAATTAATTAAAGATTATTTATTATATCTTATTTAACAAACTAAATAATAGTCATCGAGCAGCTTCGTGTTTGAGATACATATCATTGAAAATTGTTTCGAATTCATATTTGAAAATAATCTTTAAGCCAACTTGTTGGCTTTAACATGTTATTAGATTTACCACTATCCTGAGGTTTTTGCTTACTGTTTATATTATGTTATATCGGTGGGAGAATATCTGTGATTTAATACAGTTTGTAGATTTTGTGTATGTATGTATATATTATTCTGTTAAATAAATATTTTGGTTGAAAAATGTATTATTACAATAGTTTTGCTGTGATTGAGTTAGAAATGTAGTTGTAATATATTTGTAAAATTTCATTTTATCTAAACATGCAGTGTTTTGAACACTGGCAACATAGCGCGGCTACTATGATGTGATATGTTTATAATAAATTCTTTTTAGGGTTTTATTACATTTTGATATGCTCTGCTTTAATTATCTACAATAGAGTTTACTTATATTATTAAACAATACAGAATAAAAGAAGTGTTTTAAATTTAGAGTAAATAGTCTGGAGATCCAAAACAAACCCACGAATGTTTTTATAGTCGATTGTTTCTTTTACTTCGCCATGTTGTTTAGGGTTCCTTGTGGAATATTCTACCTGATACTTTAAATAATTTTTAATTAAACATAATACTCGCCGCATAATATACGTACCTTAATTTATGAAGATGTGTGAAATGGTATTTTTATTTGTAATTTTGCAAGATATAATTTTTATACTTTAATTAAATAAATTATTCTTTTTTTTAAATTGATTGTATCATTTTCATTAACAAAAGGATATTGGCCATACTTTTACCAGTGTTAATACTCCCTGTAATCATTTCCAACTAAGCGTATAATCTTTGTGCTAAGAGTGATTCATATTAAATTATTGTCGCTTCGAGATATTACACTATTATTGGCTATTATAATTAAATCTTATTTGATTAAGGCGGTTTTTTAAATAATATTAAACTGTCAAATGAACTTACACTACACATGCATTGTTACCTCTGAGTATTAAGATGGAAAATGCATACGCATTAGAACCAGAGTAACTGAAATATCCGAAGAACCGACAAGTGATAGGGAAGAAAGGTTCTCGACTGGCAGCCTCGTAGCTGGTGGCCCGCTACTGGTGGCTAAATGTAAAGGAGTTTCCGACGAGATGGAGTGACGACCTGGTAAGAGATGCAGGACGTCGATGGATGTAGGTGGCTTAGTATCGTGCTTTGTAGCATTCCTGGGGGAAGACTTATGTTCAGCAGTGAGTGATGATAATAATGATGTATGTAAATATCTCTTCCTTTTTTTTTGAACAATACAGATAATACAATGTGCCACCATGTGTTGGCGGCTTAAGACAATCTCTCGTCTTTTGGAAGTACTAAGAAGCGAGTATGGGAAAGGTTAGAACTTCATAGCTCGAACAGATGTCGGTATTGTAGCGGTGTTCTATAGACCGAAAAAGAAGTAAAATATATTTAACAATCTAGGCTTAAAGTAATTATGAGAAATTATGGTTTCTTGCAAGTTCAGACATTTTTAGTATTATTATGAGCGAGCAACTGCGCAGAATAATAACCATAGACTAGAGTGTATCTATGGGAGTTAACAACCCGCGAATTACTGTCTCGATCTACAGCGCCCTCTAGAGCGTACTTTATATGACGTTATCAATATGTCGACTCGGCACACGAATGGACCTACCAGTCCGCTACAGTATAATATATTGTACGTAGTGCTGATGGTGTGCAGCCGAGCAAAGATGCGAGACATCCGCTTCTGGGATGGATAATCCATGTCAAAGGTCTACTAAATAAACATCAAGAATATCTCGATCTATTTGATCAATTTAATTTTAATTTTCTATAATAGCCAGACCAGTGGGCTACATTTAATGCCGGCTATACACATTCGCCGAGACAGTACGAGACAGGCCGAGAGCGAGTGTCTATATGGAGCTCTCGTTTCTTCTCGCTGTCTCATCTCGCCTCGCCACCTCTCGGTCGCGTGTCGGTTTCTTTGCACTCGAGTCAAAGGTCTCGTTAGCTCGCGCGAGGAAAACAAGAACGAACATACGACGACAATTACGACATGTGTTTCGTCTCTACACGAGTCAGCCTCAGGTAATCTAGACTCTGCGATGGTTTACCGCTAAGTGAGCGGCGAGCCAAAATAACTCCTATTTATACAGACCGCTGACACAACCGCTCCCTACTTAAGTAGCGAGCGACTGCGTCATGCGATAAAACATAAGTCTAGATTACCTGAGGATGCCTCGTGTATAGGTGAAACACGTGTCGTATTGTTGTCGGTGGTGTGTCTTTCCTAGAGCAGTGGTGTTGGGAGTAGTGGTGCTGGGATTAGTGGTGACGGTGATAGTGCACGCAATTGAGGGAGGGCGGGAGGTGCTCTTCAAACTACAACATACACATCATTTTATTTTGTCGAGCTGTTGTACGCGAAGTAATTTTTTACCAATTTTAATATAATGGACTTCCGCAAAGTAACGCCTGATTTTATTAATTATCTTAAATACACTTTGCCTCACTCGCGGCCAGCCGGCCACAGAGTAATTTTTTTTACGCCGGGCTCAGTCTCCGTCGTGAGTGGTCGTTTGTTTACAGCGGTTCGGTTGTTACAAGATAAGATATTATTATTATTTTTATAATCACAGATTTTTATTACAATATTTTGTTTCGCTAAAAGTTCGCAGGATTTATATATAAATATATTTATACGTTTTAGACTTTATGGAGACCTGAAGGTGTACTTCGATATCTGCTGCTAGAGCTCCTCGACGAGTAGAACTAGGTGTGCCGAGTTTGTGCTCGTTATGTTAGTTATGTGAGACTTTACCCCGACTTGAAGATGTACTTAGGTGAATGCTACTGGAACTCCTCGAAGAGTAGTAATAGTAATAGGTGTGCTGAGTTTGGGCTCGCTTTGTTAGTTATGATGAGACCTTCCGAACAGTGGCGGATTATCCTTAAGGCAAATTAGGTACATGCCTAGGGGCGCAAGGTTAAAAAGGCGCGCGCGGTAAAAATATATGCCCTTCTGTTGATGGTACTCGTATCCTAATTATTTTGCAATTATTAAACTATATCATAAAATATAATATAGTTTATTTGCAAAATGAGTTTATTTAATTTATAATAGATATGATATGGCCCCTAGAGGGGCGCCGATGAGGTGCTAAGCTAGCCTAGGGTGCAGTCGACATTTAATCCGCCCCTGCCTCTGGACTTGATAAGAGTGACCTGAAAGTGTACTTCGATGAATGTTACTGGAACTCCTCGAAGAGTAGAATTAAGTGTGCCGAGTTTGGCCTCGTTTTGTTAGTTATGATGAGACCAGACCTCCGGACATGATAGAGGGACTTGAAGGTGGATTTTGATGACTGCTACTGGAACTCCTCGACGAGGAAAATTAGATGGGCTCGTTTTGTTAGTTACTTGCACTTTTGGATTTCCAAACTTTTTTTAATTGAAGTTTGACATAAAATTATCGGAAAATTGGAAGTATAGTAATAAGGTTATTAGTGAAAATTTGTGTGTATTTAAACTGTTTATGCCCAAATTTGGTCATTTATGAACGCCATCCAATTGCGTTCGAGCTGGCGCGTCACCCGATGGTAGGTAGGTGAAAAAAACGCCGCCAGATGGGGCGGCCGTGCGGCTTGCAATGGCTAGACGCGTGGGCGAAGAAGAGTTGTTCGCTGGCCGCGATGCGGTGAAGCCGCGTACTTAGGTCATCGCGGCCGAAGTTCACGCGACCGTATGGGGTCCAGATAGGTTTTTAGTGCGTGTTACTTCGCTACGTGGATATGTGAATTTAGCAATATTTAACTTGTTCGGGTTATGCGGAATTGTGCACGCGCCCGTCGAATAGAGATACGGTCTAGGATTGGAACCGCGCATTCCTTGGTCGAGAGCGTCTCCCGGTTGATTGTTTGGAAATCATTATAATTGTGCCGTCGCGTTAAGTGCCCTTTTTTGTGTGTTGGTTGGTTTGTTAGTTTACGTGTAAACGAGGCGTATTTTAATTTTTTTTCGCGACGTGGTGTTTTGGTGTCGAATGAAGGAACTTAGTTGTGTTTAACGCTGAACCGTATGACTCATTAAGAGATCACGTTAGTTCCCTATTTATAATTTTGTGATAAGTGAATCCGGGACATTGAATGTCGAATTTTGAACTACTGTCCTTACTGTGTCGGGTATCACGTGTTCGATTCTACGATGAATATGGAATTAGGCGAGTTTAGGTTAGTTAAATGTTGTCGTGAAGCGACAATTAAATACAAAAGAATCTAACCTAACAGCAGCAAAACAACAAAAATAGAACAAAAACAAATAATATATTTAAAATTTAAAAGATATTTACAATTTTATATAACAAAATGGAGTATGAAGATGAGGATGGATGTC